CCACACGTGCCGCATGAGCGCCTTTTGAAGCCTCCGACGCCCCCGCCCCTCCCCCCCGTCTCGGCCTCCTGTGCTTTCTCCGCCAGGCCTGGAGCTGGCGCACCACGAAAAGGGGCTGGGCGCGGGCATGCACGTGCAGTGGTATGCGAATGGCGAGGCCCTCGGCCTGCACGCCCCCTGGCTGGCCGGCAGCCCGGACAGCCCCCGCAGCAGCAGCCCCAACTCCCAGCCGCACGCGCCGCCCGCGGCGGCGCCCGCCGGCCAGCAGCGGCAGCAGCAGCAGCAGCAGCACTTTGGCGGCGCGCTCGGCGCGCCGCTGCGGAGCCCGCTCGCGTCGCCCGCGGCCGCCGCGGCGCGCGCCGCGCGGCTCGGGGGCGGGAACGGCGGCGGCGGCAGCCGCGGGGGCGGGAGCAAGCGGGGCACGCCTGAGCCGGACGGCGACGCCGCGGTGACGTTGCTGGCGCTACAGGGCCTGGCGGGCGCGGGCGGCGCCCCCGGCGACTTTTCAGCGCTCTTCTCGGGCGGCGGCCTGGCCTGCGCCACTGCCGCCGGTGACGCTGCGGGCCACCACGCTTACGCCCAGGCGGCCGCCGCCGCCGCCGCCGCCGCCGCGGCGTGCGGCAGCGACTCGGGCGCGCACAGGCGCGAGGCCAGCCGCCTGGGCGGCGGCGGCAGCAGCAGCAGCGGGGGCGGCAGCTGCGGCAACAACAAGCGGGTCGGGGGCCTGCCTGCGCTGCTGGCCAATTCGGCGAGCCTCGAGTCGCCGCTGAAGAGGGTGGCGAGTGCAAACCGCCTCGCGACGCAGGCGGCGGCCGCAGCGGCGCAGCAGCAGCAGCAGCAGCAGGGCCCGCACCAGGTGCAGGCGGCGCTCCACGCCGCGCACTCGCAGCAGCAGCTGTCTGCGTTTGCAGACGCCGCCATGGCCATGAGCCAGCAGCACCAGCAGCTGCTGCAGGAGCAGCAGCGGCAGGTTGAGCAGCTGCAGCAGCAGCAGCAGGCGGAGCAGCAGCAGCAGCAGCAGCAGCAGCAGCAGCAGCAGCAGCAGCAGCAGCAGCAGCAGCAGGACGAGGCGGGGGCCATGCAGCAGGACTACCATCACCATCACCACCACCACCAGCCGTACGACCACCTCGGTCACCTGCGCCGCCCCGTCTTGCGCGCCGCGTCGGCGCCGTCGCTGGTGCACCCGGCGCTGAGGCTGCAATACCTTCTAGCTCAGCAGCAGCAGGCGGCCGCGCACCAGCAGCTGCGCCACCAGGG